CTCGAGGTCCCTTCCAGTCCTAGAATCTATGAATCTATGAATCTATGCCACCGAGGGAGAAGGATAAGGCTCTGGTACAGGGAGGACACTGGCTGCTGGTTACTTCTGGCAGCAGGCAGTGCTCCACCCCTACTCCCAACCCACCCACCATGGTGATAGAGAACCATTATGCTGCCTTGGCAACAAGTGATGAGGAACCACCCCCAAAGGTTGAAGAGGAGAAGCCACGTACCCCCAAGACTGGGAGGATCAGAGCTAACACTCCCAGGAGGAAACATAGGGTATTGGTGGTTGGAGACTCTCTTCTGAGGGGAACGGAGGCACTTTTCTGTCGCCCTGACATGGCATCTCAGGGGATATGCTGCCTGCCAGGGGCCCATATCTGAGACATTACGGAGGGACTGTCAAGGATCAACTGGCCTCTGACTACTACCCCATGCTACTCATCCATGTGGGCACTAATGATACTGCAAGGTATGACCCTCAGCAGATCAGAAGTGACTACAGGGCTCTGGGAGTAAGGGTAAGGGAGTTGGGAGCGCAGGTGGTGTTCTCTTCGATCCTTCCGGTCAAGGGTAGAGGCCTCGGCAAAGACAGATACATTCTGGAGGTAAATGCCTGGCTGCAAAGATGGTGTCACTAGGAGGGCTTCGGCTTCCTTGACCACGGGATGCTGTTCCAGGAAGAAGGACTGCTAAACAGAGATGGGGTCCACCTATCGAGGAAGGAGAACAGCATATTTGACTACAGACTGGCTAACCTAGTGAGGAGGGCTTTAAACTAGGTTTGACAGGGGCAAGTGACCAAAGCCCACAGATAAGTCAAAAACATGGAGACCTGGGAGAAGGGTCAGACTTTGGGGGGAGCATGGGCTGTTAAGCAGAAATAAGGGAGAGAGAAGACAGAACTGGCGGGGGGGGGGGATTAAATCAGTATCTTAGATATCTGTATACTAATGCAAGAAGAATGGGAAATAAGCAGGAAGTATTCGAAATGCTAATAAATAAACACAGCTATGACATAGTTGGCATCACGGAGACTTGGTGGGATAACACACATGACTGGAATATTGGTATAGAAGGATACAGCTTGCTCAGGAAGGA